CCTGAAAATGTGCCCAGAATCCCAAAGTCCCCAGCATCAGCTCTCTCTGAAAGGAACTATTTGTGTTCAGGGTCTTGAGGCCCATCTCATGCCACAGGAAGACACTGAGATGCCTGCTGCCCACCCAGAGTGCTGCCTGCCATGGGTCACTAGGAAGAGGTGCAGGGTGTTGGTTGCGAGTGCAACCTCTGGTGTCAGACCGTGCACCCACAATTCCACTCCTCTACTCAAAACTTGTGTGAACACGAGCAAGTCTGCAAACCTCTCTGTGCTTCACTTCTTCACCATAAAATGTGGATGATAATAGTACCTACCTGATAAGTTTGGGTTAAATAAAATAATTTTTGAAAATCTCTAGTACAGTGCTTAAAAACTCGTAAACTAGCATACATAGGTTCTAGCTGCCATCATTACCTGTTACTGTCTACGATTGCTGTGCTGTGGTTTTTTACTGAGTTTCATGATTCGTTTCTCACTGGACCACCGTGGTAAGGAACTCCATGACTGGTTATTCTGTCATTTCCCCTCAGACACTGTGCAGTACCTGCACAACTCCACTACAAACCAGAAGTGTGCATTTCTCTTGCCTGCTCCATCCAAGTAGAAGGAAATCAATCCAGAGACTTCAATCAATCCAGTGATGCTTCCTGCTTCAATCAATCCAGTGATGCCAGGAAACATCAGCATAGATGTCAAAATTAAGATATGCGGTCAACACGTGCTGATACTTTGGCCGTATATCATATGAGACTAGTTCTTGTGATCGGGAATAAGAAAGAACTATTAAGGTAGATATTATTGCCCTCACTTTAATATGCTCAAAAAGAGTAATAATTTGTCCAGTGTCTCATAACTAGTATGTTTCAGGGAAAAGACTGGAAACGAGGCACTTAAGTTCTCTGCACTAAAGTTCTTCCTATAAGATTCCAAGAGGGACCTTAATTATCTCTCTAAACAAAAGTGTAGTGTATTATCACAATGGTTATGTTAAAACATCCTGATAATCTCCTAAAGAAACTTATTTTAGTATTAAAGAGAGGTGGCGTGAGTTTGACTTAACAGGGAGACTAAACTAGGCAGGACATCACTATACGTGAAGTACCATGCTGGACACTACATATGGGATCTCATTTAACCCTTACCAGCATCCCCAAAATAGGTGATTTATTCACATTTTACTAACAAAGAACCTGAAGTTCAAAGAGGATAAGTGTGGGAGGTACAATAAGTGGATTGCAGAGCTGGCATTTGAAATAAGGGTTTTATTGTATTCAATTTGCTCTACTACTATCATATTGAATTGAGAATGGCAAAGAAGTTCAAACGAGCAGAGAAAGGAGGCTCTGGGGCACGCACAGTTAAGGGAGGTTGAAAAGTAGGAGGCTGAAGGGTGCAGAAGTGTCGCTAGCAGAAAAGCTGCAAGTGCTCTGGAGAAAACTGAGAATAAGCACAGGTTTTAGAGGCCTGGGCACAGCTCCAGACTCTACTTCTCATCCCTGTACTGTGAACACCAAACTTGTCAATAGTTTGGGCAAACACAAGTATCATTGCCTGTGACGAAGCAGAAATCTTGACACTTGAGAGGCTGGCATGAGACTGAGTGGCTGCCATGGTGACC